TAGAACTCTTGGTTGGTTTTCCTTTCAAAGCCTTGTGTAATCCAGCTTGAATCAATAAATCCCTAACTTGTACTCGCCACAAGCCAAAATTGATTTTCCCGTCAAATTTCTCCATGTCATATTTCAACGATGACATATTTTTTTGTTGCTCCAATACTCTGAACCACCTGACGCTCTGATACCACTTGTTGAGAATTATACGCCAATTCTCTTTATTTCTATTTAGCTACATGATCTTTTGTTGTTCAGAAAAATATTTGCAAACAAGGAAAAATAAAGAATATAGGGCACAAATTAAATAGACCGTTAAAACTTTTCACTATATGAAAAATTGTTACAATCATTAGAATATCACTTACCAACCTAATCCCCAAGTATTACAAAGAAAAAATAAAATCGAACTTTACCACGCCTACTTTTCTATCCTTAGTACGAAAAGTCTCAAGATGCTAGGCTCACAATATTTTTCTCTTAGATCAACTCTCTGACCACACCCAAAATAATGAAATACATCCACTATTTATAGAATCAATAACCAAGATTACAACTTAAACAAGGCTCCTTTAACTCAACAAGGATTCTTTTATATGTAAGACTTCAAAATCAACTGTAAATTGGAGACCAAATTCCGTAAGAATTCTGCTCTCAACTTTAATTAAAAGTCTTCCATGTAATAACTACATTTTTATTATTTGCAATAAAAGTCCTCAAACTTTTGACTTTTAAGGCAATCACCCAACACAAACTGGTGTATTAATCGAGATCGATGTCGAGTTACTACAGTTCATGGATGAGGAGATGGGTAGCAAAAATGACTCGAAGCTGTTGAACAGTTTGACACTCCCAGGAACATATTCAGTCTGCTAGTTATCCGGGATCGCATGAGAAGTAGAACCTATAGCAATGAGAGAAGGTTTGATGTTTGCCAATTTTATTGGTCTCCAGGTATAAGACGTGAAATGTAACTCTCTTCGTTACAGTGAAAAACCATCATTCAGATTCCAGTTGGGCTCCAAAGTCGACCATTTTGATTGATATTGTAGCCCTACTCGTGATGTCGATTGTGGATCTTGTTGCCTCATTCCAAGAACTGGGAATAAAGTAGCATACATGTTGGCAACCTTTGCTACATAGATAGGCATTTAGCCCTGTTTGGCCTCCATTATTTGCTCATTTTCCATTCCCATTTTCAGAATATGTGGTCCCCACTTTTGAAATTGTTAGGTGATTCTGACCAAGGTAGCTGCATTTTTTGACTTTTCTATGGAGCATTTCACATCATTTTACAAAATTGACCTCGACATATTATAGGTAATGGCGTCAATAGCTTGGCTAGGTGAAGGTACTGACAAAGCAGGTGCAAGTTTTGCATTGTTTCTTAGTTGTTTATTGGAGAGTAATGAGATTTTGTACAAAAAACTCATTAAAATGGGGCCAAACGGGGGCTTATATTCTGTCGCCAGCTCTTTGCGACGATATGAACACATAGAGAATGCCTTTTATGAGTTCAAAAAAAAAAATGTAAATGATAATTACATTTTTTTCATTAAACGGAACATGACGGCGGATTCTACTAAAACAAAGATAAGAAGAAATAGAGCAAAATACAAACTTACGAAAGAGGCTATGCCTGACAACCAGTTAAAGGTAGGGATGAGAATTAGGCTCGTCGACTCGGGCCTCCCGTGGTTCAGCTCGAAAAAAGCTCAAGCCCGCCCAACTCGAGAGAATTGAGTCGAAGCTTGGGTCAAGCCCCATTTTGGGGTGCTGAGCAGAGCCCGAATTGGTTCGCGAGCCTATATTTAAAAAAAATACAAAAAAAAATATTAGTTTTTAAGGTAGCAATCTGATGCCTTAAAAAAAAAAAAATACCAAAATCGAGCAGGCCCGGCTTGACTCGGAAATACTTGAGTCGAAAGTTGGGGTCGAGCCTAATTTTTTTGGTCGAGCTTTTGTTCTGCTCGGCTCGGATTCGAAAAAAGCTCAAATTTTAGTTCGTGAGTCACCTTGGCTCAACTCAACTCATTGAAATCCCTAGTTAAAGGTAGAAAAAATGAATTAGTTCCCTTCTAAGACGTGGTGTACAATATAAATGCTAATGATCTATGCTTCATTTGTCCTTATTGTACTTCTCATTATTAAAATCTGTTGGGTTTTAATTCTCAATAAATTTTGTGCCGTGATGTTAAATGTCGGAATACATTTTATAGGTTTCGACTGATGAGTGAAATAATTATGGGAAAAATTCATAATTAAGAGATTAAGTATCACCCATTTTAAAAAATAGAACAAAGGTTTCAAATTTCAAAAATCAAATATTTATTAAAATTTATCTATGATTTAATTAATTAATTACATAGTTTATTAATTAAATATATTAGTGTCACATGTCTATACAATTTGATCACAAATTAATGATTTAGTAGTCATATATTATTTTTTGATCATAAATCAAAATTTTTATATTACAAATCATTTTACGGTCACAATTCAAAAATTTTATAGGTCACAATTTGTTCATTGATCACAAATAAAAAATTTATGAGTCACAATTTATTTATCAGTCACAAATTACAAATATTAAATGTCACAACTTATTATATAGTCACAAATTATCAAATTATCGACCACAAATTAACAATTTATTAGGTCAAACATTTTTTCTTGACTACAATTTATCTTTTTCATTAGTCACAGATTAACTAATTTAATTATTACAGTTAACCAAATAATTTGCGACCACCATCAACACTTGCAACCACCATCTCTACCACATCATACCACCATGACCAAGCAAAAAATTCCCAAACCTTCCATCACCGCTGCCACCACCACGACCACCACCACGACCACGACCACCACGAATCCACAACCACAATCATCGCCACCACCAACCAAATGGTCACAAACCCCACAATCTACAATCACCACACTACTACCACGACCACGACCACGACCACCATCAAAACATCATCAGAACAATCACTCAACCACCACAAACCACGCTACCACCATGAGCTCTCTACCAACAATTCAGATCCAAAACACCATCGTCGTCGCCTCTACCATCACTGCCATCACCACCTCCACCATTTTCAACTACTACCACAGCCAAAACTCCTTCATAGACCTGTCAACAAGAAACCATCATGGTACCATCACTACCACTTGTACCACCATCACCACATCCAACCACCGCACCAGTAGCCAGCCAAAAAGGTCTCCCTACCTCCAAGGTCCTTAGCTTCACTTCATCATCGTTCGCCTCCAATTGCTATGAATTATCGAACTGCACATGGAGCCCATACTACCATCGCCCTTATCGTCGCCACCAGACCTATGACCCTCGCTAGAACATCCACTTACACGACCAACAAAAACCACTTCAAATCCCACAACAACACCAAAATATGGAAAACCACTACCACCACTCCAACAATCAAAACCAAGACCAGCTCATTGCTGTCTCCAAATCCATCACCACCTACACCAACCACTTGTAGCACCACCATCACCACCAAACTGCAGCAGCAACAGGGTGAAGTCTCTGTGATGTGTTTACATTGTCAAGTATCGACGCACCCCAGCAGCGACAATGTCGTTTCAGACATAGCTGCACTGCGACGGTGCGACGCGGCTCTCCCATCAAGTGGGGTTGCTACGGTGGCATCCTCGACGGTGACTGTGATCTGAAAGAAGAGAGACGGGTGGTGAAGAGAGAATGTAAAGGAGAGGAGAAGGGTATAGAGAGAGAAAGGAAATGGTAGAGAGAAAAATGGATACTAGGGTTTGGGGTTGAATTTTATAATATTATTATTTAATATTAAAAATTGTACTATCTTCTGATTTTTGTATATATAAACTATACTTCTGATTTTTGAAATGCAATCTTTAAAATAGGCCTCTATGTAATTTCCACAATAATTATCAACAACCAAGTTCAAAGACTCTATCCATCCCTCATTACTTCTTGGATGACTTTGAATCTTGGCCAATTTATCTTTATTATTGGTCTAACTAAAGCCTAACCTAACCCTATATATATGTGCTCTTACTCTAGCCCTTTTTTGTGTGGTAAAGAAGAAAAAACGTGGCTACCTTGGAAGAGAAAATAATCGGCTACTTTGTGTTGAAAAACCGGTAGTTGCCTTCTTGATTTTGGTCTCCTTCTTGTGCCTTATTCTTTGTTTTTATTTTTGCCTTTGTGGCTACAAATCACCACCATTATCTTGTGCTTTGTGGGTGAGATTGAAAAATAACCTAGGTGAACATATTGATTGTGGGTTAGAGTCGTTTGAATTGGTTGGCTGGTAAAGAAAGGTAACATGAAATTGAGCCCGGAAAGCACCGATTTGATGATCCTTGGAGCAAGCTTCCGTGATATAATCTAAGTGTAGTATTTATCTAATTCCTAATTACTTTAGAACTCGCTACTTGAAAATACATTGCATATTTATTTTATTATCATATCTGAAATTCAGGTGCTTTTAAATGGATTCATGATGATAATGACGAGACTATGGTTTGTAACAATTACATACCGAAAATCAAGTAAAGGAAAATATGGTAAGGAAATATAAAGAATATATCTAGAATCTCAAAAAGGGGGAAAAAAAGGATTATGCTACTTGTATATAAAAATGGCATACAAAAGATTGCATAAAATGATTTGGAAGGAAAAGATTGGACGAAATAGTTGATTGTATTTTAAACTTGCAAATAATAAAATGCGATGTGACATTATATAATCCATTATGTAAAATTTGATGTGCATGTTAAAAATCAAACCCCAAACTATCTTGAAATCACAAAAACTTCAATTCTAAAGATAATGATAATAAGACAAAAATAAAGATATGCCATGGTGTTGGGACTTGGGATCATGAATTTCCAGCTAAACATTTGCATCAACACGGCCGTGCTAAAGGAGCAGTAAATACATTTTTATTTGAAGCCAACTTGTTTTCAGAAGCAGACATAGTAAAAACGCAGAAACAAGAAACACTCAAGTGATTAACAAATTATTATACATCATATGAAATACACGTGACTGCCAGAACGAATAGAACATCATAATTAGTTAGGCTGATAAACTTTGGTGGAAGTGGCTTTGGATAAAGAAACTTACATATAAGTGATATTTTTGAAACAACCTATGATAATATATTCTCTTCAAACTCTACTAGGAGAAGTCATGGATCATAGGGGGTAGCAGCAACGAAAAGGTCTTCTCTTCTTGATGCAGTTAATCCAGAGTTCTCAGTCATATCTAAATATTCTGGGTTGATTCCTTCAGGGAGTTTCCAGTTGAAGTTACAGAGAAGTTGAGCTAAAGGAAGCTCGACGCCAGCTATACCAAAATTCATACCGGGGCACATTCTTCTTCCTGATCCGAATGGAAGATATTCAAAGTAATTTCCCGTAAAATCCATACTTTTGTTCTCAAATCTCTCTGGTTCAAAATTTTCGGGATTATTCCAATACTTAGGATCCCTGCACATTTCCCAAGCATTTACAAATACTTTGGCATTGGCAGGTATAAAATATCCATTAATTTCACAATCTTTCCTGCTAGCTCGTGGGAGAAGAGGAACCGGTGTATGCATCCTCAGAGTTTCTTTTATTACTAACTTTAGATACTTCAACTTTTGGAGATCAGTCTCTTCGATGATTTCACGTCCCTTAAAGATTTCTCGTACTTCAGCCTGTGCCTTCGCCATTACATGGGGATTTCTCATAAGTTCTGCCATAGCCCAATCAATGGTGGATGATGATGTATCTGTTCCAGCTGAGAACACGTCCTACGAAAAATCCACCAATCTTGTTAATGAAATTAAATTACAAGAAATAAATTACGAATAAAAGATTTAATAATAGCCAAAATACTTACAGAAAGAACGGCTTTGATGTTGTCATAATTAATTGGAATTTCAAGTTCCCCACTTTCCTTTACTCGTAGGAAAACATCAACTAAATCTTCGTTGCCGAACTCTCCATTTCCTCTTCTTGTAGACTCTGCTTGATCCAACCCTTCGTTTTCCTTGCTCATTCTTGTCAAATTCTCCTTGTGTTCATCAATTATCTCATCAAGAATTGCATCGAGCTTGCGGCGCATCGCCCACAATTTTACCTTATTGGAACTGAAAAGTCTGAGAATCTTGGATGAAGGAAACAGGTCTGCCAGTTCAAAGCCAGCCGCTAAGGATACACCTTCCTGGAAAAGTTTTACCAGTGTGTCTTTATCCTTGCATATTTTACCGAATGCTGCTCTTGCAGTGATGGAACTTGTTGATGAGAAAATCTTCTCTGTGAGATTTATGGGTTTTCCAGAAGATGATTTAATCGATTTGATGAGCTTAAGAACCTCATCGCTTCTAATGGAAGCAAATGATCTAACCTGTTTGGAACTCAAGAGTTCCAAGACGCAGATTTTACGCATTTGTCTCCAGTAATCATTGTATGGACTAAATGCCATATCAGTATGATCATACCACATAATCTCAGTAGACATAGTCCCCGATCTCGCTGCAAAGTTAGGATCTTGAGTTTTCAAGGCTTCCTTGGCTATTTCGGGCGAAGATATGACAATTGCAGAAGTTTCACCGAGCTTCAAGTGCATTATCGGTCCATGTTTTTTGGCCATTTCTTTGAAATCGCGATGTGGAAGTAAACTCAAGAGGTGCAAATGTCCAATTATGGGCAACTGTTTGGGACCTGGTGGAAGCTTTCGGAGTTTACTAGGAGTTTGGGATTTCTTCCATTTGGTAATGAACAGGAAAACCAGAGACAGAAATATAGCTAAAGTAACGAAGTTATAGGGGATAAAGAGAGCCATTTTTGTGAAAAGGGAAAAGGGCTTTACCTCGCAGAAAAAAACTCTCCTTCTCTTAGATTCTACAATATTTTTGATGAACCATTAACACACTCTTAACACATATATATAGACAAAAATTGGAAGGTAAGTCCCGAGTATTATGGGATTTGATTTGAATTTAGCTGTTTCAGTCAGTCCCCTTCAGTTGCAGCCAGTTTTGACCAGCTATTTTTTAGACTCAAATTATGTAACCAAAAATTCTTGCAGTCTACCAGAATTTATTTCTATCTTCACATTCAAGTAATGGTAAGGTAGATAGTGACCTAGTGTCATTCACGATTGGGATTGAGTCGACATTCATTCTTATGTTGTAAAACTGTACAATGAATAGACATAATGACGATTGTACAATGGTTTTTATAATCTTAAACTTTAGAAAATAATAGACAAAAAATTAATTTTAAATTTTCGTTTAGGATTCATGACTTTTTAACTGCATAATTCATAAATTTTTTATTTATTTATCAAAATCTACTAAATATTTGATATTTAATTCCTACCAAACAATAACTAAATAATGTGTTTCATTTGACCATTGTAATTAAATATACTGTTTTTCCAAAAAGCCTGTAGCCATCGAGAAAATTGAAATGTTTTTAAAAAAAGTTTTTCTCTAGATAATTTTATATTCAAGGATATGTAATAAGAAAGATCAAGGTTACACATATATATACAAAAAAGAATAAATAAATAAATAATCATAATTGTAAGCTTTGAATAGAAATTGAAATTGATAAATGAAGGAAAAGACTAGGAATCTACTTTCGACTATATGGTTATGAAATTATGGATCCCAAATAGTTACGCTTTTGACGGTTGACGGCTTTGATTATGGTTCGTTTGATAATTAAAATGATGTTACCAATTATTATAATAGTCCACTTTGACAATCAACTCTTTTCTAAATGGATTAATACTATGCCATTTTCATGTTTAATTGATTTTTTTTTTTATTGGGGGCGTGTGGGGCGGGGTGACGGGGTGGGTTGATCGCTTTTCTAGTTCCCAACACGGAATCGGAATCTCCTCTCTTCACATCTCACGAACTTGCCATTTGTTCAAATAATTTAATTTATTTGTTTAAATAATATCTGGTTTTGGGTCACTGGAACATAAAGTATTGTTGATCAATCACAACCCCACCACGTCTTCTATACTTGGTATACCAAAGATGAGTAATTTCTTTTTATTTTTTATTTTTATTTTTTTATGAGTTAGGATAAGTGGGGTTTAGCACTTCTTTGAGCCCCATTTTTGTTAAGAAAATGAATTTTTGAATAATATATTGATAAAAAATGTGTGGTTCAAAAATAAGGAAATTTTTTTTATTTGCGTATAATATTATTTTATTGAAGAATGTGTGGTTGAAATGATGTCAAATCACTGTTGAAGATGTATTTTGGTTGAAAAATGGGGCTCAAACAAGGGTTTAATTTATTTTGTAACCTAAATTGTCCAATAATCTTCGAAAATATAACAAAGAAATAAAAAAAAATAACATTTGTTTATTATTTGATACGGGACAGCTTCTTATACTCAGAAGTTTGACATTACAAATAATCGTGACCTTTAATTTAAGTTAGTTGAACCTTCAATAGGTATTTCACTGAAGTCAGGGAAGAGTTTGTTATAACCATTTGAGATTCATAAGATATTCGACGTTGAATTGACTTAAATTAAATATCTCAATTATTTGTCAAATAAGAATGTGAAATTTCTAATAAGAAGGAACAGTTCCATATTTGATAAAGTAAACTACAATTAATGATACATTTCATGTTTACATATTGAGCCACATCGACAATTAATGAACTGCTTCTATGAATATTAGTACATAATTCCAATCAAATTGTAGCACACACTGTCAAGGGATAAATTTATTTACTGAACCCAATTTTTTTTATGCAAAAATTATCCTATTACCATGGGACTACGTTGTTCACTATCAAATTTTGTCTATGTATGAAAGAAGAAAAAAATGATGAAAGCGTGGAAATTAGTCATTAAATAATCAATTATAAGCATGACCGCCACTTGTAGAAACCGTAAATTTTTTAATAAGAAATGCTGCATTTTCTACAGTATTATTCATTATGGCTAATAGGTTAGTCTTGTGGAAAAGAATTTTTCGTCAATTTCGTTGTGCTTTCCACATCTTCACAGTTTACGCTACAAAGATATCATTACTCATGCAATATATTGTTCATAATTTTCAAAATAAATAAATAAATAAATAATTATAGTAAAATAATGGAAAATGAGCAAAAAAACGAAATCACAAAAAAAATCCTGTTTGTATTTTTTTTTTAAAGATAAAAATTCGAGCATATAAATCTTAGCGACACAAAATATTCTACTGTTAATCTATATATAATTGGAAACTTTAGATATTTTAAAAATATATGATAAAATACTAACCAAAAAATTATCGCTAAACAAATTTGATAAAATAAAACTCCAATTTTCAAAATAAAATTAAAATATTTCATCTGCAGTATTTATATTTAAAAATTAAAAGTTAGTAAATTTAAACACAGGTGTCGTGTAAATAGGTACTTTTTTTGACATGGAAAGGAAAGAAAGTGACCATTTTTATTTTATTTTATTTATATCTGTGTTTTAAAATATTAGCTAAACTTACTTGTCGGATAAGCAGTAATAATTAAAAATAATGCTTCAAATTATTTAATTTATTTTTCTTCCTTAACACCGTAGAGCATGCATGTTATGAATTAATTAACTTGCCCCCAGGGCACATTTTCAAGTGATAAAAGGGGAGGGTGGAGAAATCCAACTTTGTTTGAGGCTGCCGCGTGAAGGGTTCGAATCCTGAAATATGGATTTGGCTTTTGGGTAAGTGCAAGTGTACAAGAAGCCTTCCACCTTATACCCTTGGAGGTATAACCTGCGATTTATCTCCCTCACGATGCTCCAAGGCAGGGGCGGTGGAGGACCCTCAAGGTTGGGGTTCGACCTTTTTTTTTTTTTTTCATGAATTAATTAACTTCTTTAAAGAGTTAGCTTAACATCTCAGCAATACCGTAGAGCATTCATGTTACGAATATCAATGATTATAGGGAAATTGGTGCGAATGATACCAAACATTTACCCATATTGGGCTATTGGTTCAAACATTTACACTCTTGGCATAGTTAACCGTTTTCTATGGATACAAAAGATCGTTAATTTGTATGTGCACTACACTTTCTTTCTTTTAAGATTGAGAAAAGGAATATGTATTGTCAACTTTGGCGAGAGTAAATATCATGTACTTAAACTAATTTTTTATCTGGTTTTTGTCTCTAATCTTTAGGAAATAACAAATTTAGTCCCTCTTATTAACAAATTTGACCAATGTATTTGAGAAATGATCAATCCTATAGATCTAACAAAAAAATAATTAAATATAAAAATAATCATCTTCTGCACTCATCCCTTCTGCAATCCACCCGTCCAACACTACTTTAGTTCGATGAACCAGTTGGGGGAGAAATCCCCCCACCCCCCAACCCCCCATTTACAAATCAAATGATATTTTTCCACTCTGACCTGTAGATTTTGTAACTTGACATCCATCCAAAATTTTTAAAATCACTCTATTAATGAAAATCCTTAAAATTCATAAATTATTGAGGGTACCTAAATTATAAAGGATTTCATTGAAATTTATTAAAAATTTTATTGGGAGCCCAAATTTTCAATGGATTTATTAAAATTCATTAAAATTTCAATTTGAGACATCTAAATTTAGAAGAATTTTTAAAATCTATCAAAATTTCAGTTGAGGATATCCTTGTAAATTCTTCTTAAAAATACATTAATATGAAATCTCATAAAGGTCAAGGGAAAAAATAAAATAAAATAAATGGTTGGAGACGGGATTGCTAATTTTGTCAAAGTTGGGATTTTATATGCAATCTATCACTAAACGAAAGACTAGTACATAACAAATTAACAGTCTTTTTGAATAGGATTAGACATGGGTAAAAATTTGAAAAATCAACCAAATCAATCAAATCGAATTGATTCAGATCAGTTCGAATTGGTTAGACATAATTAATT